TCTTGTAGCCAATCCCGGTTTGGCCTCATCCGCTGGGGGGCCGTCACTATCCTTTCAGCCTAGTTTACTCTGAAAAGCCTGAGCTATGTCATTCAGTGTTCTAGTACTTAGGAGAGTAGAGCCAAGTCCATGGCATCCCTCAGGTTTGGCCTGAAGAAATTCTTTCAATGAATTTTATACCTCTCCTTGTTTTTGCATTTTGGGGGAATAGTTGGTTATCCAAGGTTCTAAAATACCTGTCAGTTTCCTTCGATCTCTCTAGCTCGCTAAAGTAGCAGATGGTTGGAGTGTCCTGAACCACATCCCCTGACCCACCTGATTTCAGAGCGACCATGGGAACAATTCCTTGGTTCTGGCCAGCATCTCATCCCACGCACACACCATGTTGCCTTTCTGCTTTTCTGAGTGCTCCTTAGAAGGCCTGGAAGGTGTTTACATGGCATCAGTGTGGAAAAAGAATGCTCCCAAGGACAAACACTATCAATGGGAAAAAAGTGAACAGGCAAATACCTGACTCTTTGGGGTTTCCACATCCTAGTAGGACAATTTTTGAGGTACTGTCCTCATAATACTCCATTCCCAGAGGACTGAGTCTCAATTGCTCTCTTCAGTTACCAACTTGAAATGTGCATTTAGTGGGCTTTTCTCCCATCCGCAATTCATTCTTGTCCTTCTGTTCTACTTCCTGGGATCAACTTTCAAATAAGTCACCACACCAAATCCTGTTTGGTTTGGGAGAACTCAAACTGTGTAAAATAGAAGGGGCCCTAGAAACAGCAGGTCCTCAGGATAGGACCCTCAAACTGGTTGGACAACAATGAGGACCCCACTGCCTGTGGCATGTGGGTGATGAAAACCTCCAATAAGTTGTATCATTGCATTCAGCAAGAACCTCAGTAGTAGATGAAGAGGAGGATTAATTAAAAGGGGGAAGTATTGACTTCTCAGCGGGTCTCGTACTTAGGAAGATAAATGTAAGGGCTATAGAGTTGGCTGGATTTTGTTGTCTGCTCTAGAAAACTTGAGGAAAGAGAATCATGGATGATCTATCAATTCTGTGGAGCCTAGAAAGTACATAGCAGCATGAAAGAATCTCATCTCCTACTGACAAGGAGCAGATGTGTTAGGTAGTAGGGAGGCTGATTGCTCATCCTTGACAGGTGCCCTTTGGTGAATTTCGAGACCTTGTACCGAAGCAGAAAGATGCTGAAAAATGAGATCCCTTATTTTGAGAATTTGAGAATTTGGGAATTTTGAAGTCCTGTATTCTTCTGGACTGGAAGAAGTGTTTCCCTCCACCTTGCGGGAAAACAGTGGTCCCTCTTGCCAACAGACTCACAAAATCCTCAGGTATAAGGTGATTCTTGCTATTTCTCAAGTGTTACCCCCACCTCCCATCGGTACGACCAGATTAATAATTAGGATCAGCTCTGAGCAGAGCCCGAGCAGTGCCTGCAGCAGGAGCAGACAGCTCCCTTCTGGAAGAACTGCGGGATCTTACTAATGTGTACTGGCAGGAACTCGAGAACATGCGTGGGAGTGGATCTTGAAGATTGAGCTGAGGGAGGGAGAATGGAAAGTTGTTTAGGGAAGTTGTTTATTGACCTAGGATCGTCCTCCCATGACTCAGGATTTAACTTCCTACCTGCTAGGTTGCTAATCACGTGGTTCTTTGATGTTTGGACATGATGACAATGTAGCATTTGAGGCAGAAATGCCACAACTACCAACGTCACTAGAATTGGTTAATTACGTGAGGACAGAGAATCTAACAAATACCTATCTTCCCCAGGAAGTTCCCCCCCAAAATTCCCTTTATGAAGACAATAAGGAATGCAGTATTAAGGGAAGGGCTGGTATCACTGAGAAGTCAGTGGTGGCTGGCTTCTAGGCCACATCCCCTTTGCCCATCTGATTCCAGCACACTGGAACTAGCCAGTGGACAGTCCCTATAAATGGCCAATGTCTTGCCTCAGGCATGCATGTGAGCATCTCTCTGCTTTAGTCTTGGGACTTTCTCTAAAGTCTGTCTTCTTACATAGTAAGATCTGGAAGTGTGGGTAGGTTAATGTCTTAGAGGACTATGATTGTTAATCTTACTCCTCTAATAGACTGGGCTAAGGGATGTCCAAGTAGCTGATAAAACATCATTTCTAGTTGCACCTGTGAGGGTATTTCCAGAACAGCTTAGCATTTCAATCAGCAGACTTAAAAAATCCTTCCTTGCTAGTATTAGTGGGCATCAGCCAACTCATTGAAGGCCTAGGCAGAACAAAAAGGCAGAGGAAGGGTGACACCTCACTCTCTGTTCTTGAGCTGGGGTGTCCACCCGCTCCTGCCACTGGACATCGGAGCTCCTCATTCACAGATCTTCAAGCTCAGACTGAATTATACCTCCAGCTTGCAGATGGCAGACTGTAGGGCTTGGCCTCCATAAATGTGTGAACCATAATAAACCTCCTCTTTTATCTGTCTGTCTGTCTATCTGTCATCTGTCTGTCTCTCTGTCTCTTACTGGTTGTGTTTCTCTGATTTTACTGATTATATTGCCTGATTCAGGGGAAAATTTCAATGAATGAATGAGAAACAGAAATCGGTGGATAAGTTCCCCAGCCTCCCTGTTACAAAGCAGAACATTCTGAGGCACATTCTCCACATAGTTCCTTTCAGGGCCTGTGGTGGGACTGAGTCTCTGCTGTCCACAGCACAAAAAAACTCACCTTACCTTGACTTTTCTCCTGTCCTTTCTCACTCTCTCAGCGATCTCACTCCTGGACCCCAGGATCCTCTCCCAACTTAACTTCTATACTCCAGCCCTTGTCTACGCTTTCGTTTTCAGGGCAGCCTAAACCAAGGCTCTTCTGTGCTATAATTTCAGAGTTCTAAAATTGATATCTGGGTAACATAGTATACTGGGCACACTGTACTGTGTCTATAAGAATAACTTCATTCAAAAAATGTATCCAAGGCCAGCCTCAACCAATTGATTTTAGCCTTCTTAAAATTCTACAAGTCACTCTCTATGCTGAATCTATTTAGAGAAGAGACAATATCTTTCCTATATTTCCCCAGAGTCCTTGGTGATAAAGCCAGGGAAAGCTCAGAATATATGGCAGCCAATAGCCAGAAGTACTGTATTTCATAAAGAGTGGTTATTATTAAAAGCAATAAAGATGCCTCATTAGAAGTCTGGAGCAACTGCATTTTCTCCTGCATACATTTTAGTACATCGAAGCACTAAGCCTTGATTCTCCACACTAGCAACCCTTAGGTGTTTTCACTCTCGTTTACTGAGACCTCCTAACAAGTTATTGCCATTCTTGGGTATTCTAGAGCTGTCCTATTTTATTTTATAAAGCATCTGATGCAGGCTCATGTGTATCAGGAAGATCTCTTCACAGATTTAGATCCTAAATCTTGAAGTGCTCACTTTGGCAGGCCCCACATCTGGCCACTTCATTTGAAAAACTTCTGGGATCCCATTTTCTCCACATAGCATCTCTCAGAGGAGCAGGATGGTGCCAGCTCCAGCCTCTCCAAATACAGCATCCTTCATTGTCCTGCTTTCCTGACCTCCCACGAGAGGCAATCCTTGGCAGACACTGACACTTAGACTAAATGTTCAGATGCCTCTTTGTCCTTCATGCCTCTCCTCTTTGTCTGGTGCTTCCAATGGAGATTCCTCGACATCAGAAATAATGTTTTTGTAACCCAGTTCCTGGCACAAGGACATCAAGGACATGCATGGAGAAATACCTAACACAGTCTCTCTCTCTCTCTCTCTCTCTCTCTCTCTCTGATTGAGTCATATAAAAAAGGAGAACATGAAAGAAAAATTTTAAATGTGAGTTTTAATCCCTATCAAGCTAACACTATTTTGCTTTGGGTCAATATTAGAAGGCTCAGTCAGTAGGTTCACATGGCTCTGGAACACTTCACAACACTTAGGAGCCTGGAGTAATTTTAAAACACATAGACAATAAGCTATGTGAGATGGAGAGTCTCAGAAGCAATCACCTTCCAGTGTGAAGTTTAGTGTTCTTTAGGGGATCAAGGGTTATAATATCCTAGATCCATAACCAGTGGCATTCCCTCTGTCTCTACAGCCCTAAAGGGTATAAGAAAAATGATGGCATTGCATAGCAGATAGGACCACCAAGCAAATCAAAGTCTATTAAACTTGCACCACACAGTGGGAACCATCTACTTTACCTCACTAATTCTGCAGATATGAACACTGTCAGAAAGAGACCTGGTTAGGGCAGGTGGCCAGGGAGTGGAATAATGAGTCTATTGACAGCTAGGTCCGTCCTAAAATGCTCTTTGGATGTGAGAAATGAGCCTGTTGATGCTTCTCAAGATGCAAACTTATCAAGAAGCCAGGAAGAACATCAAAGGACTGATATAAAGGGAACAATTTCAAAATGAGCGTTAACTTTTATGGACAAAGATATTCATTACGGGCTTCTTAAAATAGCTAGAAAATTATAAATTATCTAAATATGTTATAAAAGAATACTGAATTTAATAGTGAGACAATTATAGGATAGTGTACAGTCTTAAAAGAACTCTACAATTTTGTTTTGTTTTGTTTTTTGAGACAGGTTCTCACTATGTAGTTGAGACTGACCTGGAACTCACTATGTAGCCCAGGCTGGTCTCAAACTCACAGAGATCCTCCTGCCTCAGCCTCCTCAGTGCTGGGAATACAGGTGTGTACCAACACACACACCTGGCTACAAAATGTTTAATACCATAGGGAAAAGGAGGATACTAAATTGTCATATTAAGTATAACATCAATATATGCTATGTGTAAATCATGTATGCATATTTTTTGTATTCACATAATAAATACAAAAAAAACAGACAAAAGTATACTAATATGATGAATGAGTTTATTGTGTATCTTTGGGTAATGAAACTAAATAATGATTATTTTTACTTTTAAATGACATTCACATAGCTACCATAAAGATTTCCTAATCAAAAAAAGAAGCAAAAGAGATATTCTAAAATATGCTGGTAAGAGTGATCAAAGATTAGACATTTTTACATAAAAGAGTATTCAATGATTCCATCAATTTTTTGTTTGTTTGTTTGTTTGTTTTGGTACCGGGGATTGAACTCGGGTCCTTGTGCTTGCAAGGCAGGCCACCGAACCGCTGAACTAAATCCCCAGCTATTCCATCAATATTTGAGTCGATTTTTAATCATAGACCTGTGTTACCTTGGATTTTTGACATGCCAAGTATAAAGGATAAATCATTCAGACACAGCAAGTGGTTTTACACTTCAAAGTGTGACACTGGGGGAAAAAAGCTATTAAACTTTCAGATTTCTTTCTTAGTTTTACTTATAGTATCATTTTCTCTATTACTTAAATTTCACTCATAAGTCATAGGTTTTTTTGATTTTGCTTTGTGTGATGTTTAGTTATTGTGTTCGTTTGAGTCTCCCGAGAAGGAGGCGCTAAGATTGGAAGCACAGGAGATTTATTCGGGAAATACTGAAGAGAGAAGGGGAAAGAGTCGGAGCAGGCAGAAAGAGTCTCCAGACTAAAACCAGAAAGTGGCCCATGTGGGAGCCGGGCCTTTGGGCCGTCCTGAAGTCAACATATTCACGAAAGGACAGTCTTGGTCCATTTGTGCTGCTAGTGACAGCATATTTCAGGCTGGGTAATTTATATGAAACAAACATTTATTTCCTTATAGTCCAGGGGGCTTTGAAGTCCAAAATGAAGGGACCAGCACTGGATGTCTGGTGTAGGCCTCTCACTGCGTCCTCACGTGGTAGAAGAGACAACTCACTCCTGCACAACCTTTTTACAGGCCCCTGATCCGTTCATGAGTGAGGAGCTCTCCTTAAGTAATCAGCCCCCAGAGGCCCCACTGTCTGATACTGACACCTTGGTGATTAGGGGCCCCCACACCAGACCACACCAAGGCATCAGAGTTTCCCAGAAGCACTTCTTCATGCTTGGCCATCGGCTGGGTACAGCCATGGCAACTGTGGCCGCAGTTGGACCAGGGGTGATGGGTTCCAGGGGACGGACAGTCACTGGGGTCATGGCCAATGATGTGCGACATTGGGATGTTGCAGGGGCACAGGCTCAGCACTGCCAGTCATGAGATGCATGTTGCAGGTGGATAGATGGCTGGCTCCCTATGTCTGAAACAGCGTGAAGGGCCTTGACGTTTTCTTGAGGTTCACTGCCATAAGCAGCTGTGAGAAGAGGCAATGCCTAAAGCAATTTGGAATGAAGCACATGTGAATCTGTGGGCTGATACTGTATATCATGTTTGGATGGTATCAAAGACACAGAAATACTTATAGAGTGCACATTCAACTCCTCTAGGTGATCTTTGGCAGGGAATAGGCCACCCACTGTCTTGGATGCACTCGAATTTTGTTTTGGGTAATCCTTTATTTCAGGTAAATATAATAAAGATAATGACATACTGTAAATGAGGCAACAATTCAGAGCATTTCACAGTATTCTTTTGGAGGGACTGGCTCAATAGACACTGTAATTACTGGAAAGCAAAAATGTAAAGCTGTCAACCAAACTGAAGAGTTTCTACTGCGTCTCTGAGGCATTTAATCAATTCAGCCAAGGCAATCAACAGAACCACTTGTTTATTGTTGTACATTCCCCATCTCCTAACGACTGGGTTTCCTCGCATTTAATTGACTAGATGTTGAACTGCTGTGATAACATAAGCCAGTATGCCCAAATGGCTCACAAGGTGGCATGCAGAAAAGGCACTCGAGCCGTGAGGAGCGAGGAAAACTCCAGCTCCTTTCATGTGTTTTACACTTGAAAACAAAAACACCATTGGCTTGCGAAATGGTCAAAACGACCAGGAAGCTTGAGCAATAGACCATGTGCTTGTTGATCACAATCCAGCTGTAACTGAGGGGTTGCTGACTCTTGAATCTTGTCTCTAGGATCTGCTTCATCAAAGTGTCTCTGTGTTTCTGGGACCGAAGAGACTCTATACGACATGTGGACAAAAGATAAGGTGAATGTTTAAAGTTTTTTTTAAAGTATGGCAATAGAAGACAAATTGACATTAATCCTTTACAAAGTATTCCCCCTCACTTTGAATACATATATCCTATCATCTTTGCCACTTTCTGAAGTGGTTCTGGAGGTCCTTTTTCATGAGTGTCTTTATGAGGCATGATAAAAAAATATGGTGAATAAGAATGCCCCGTGTCATGAAATAGAGAGACAGGCTTGAAAGAACATTATGGTTTGTCCTCATCCACCTTATTCGCCAGGTCGGGCATCATGCAACTTCTGGCTCTTCCCTGAAGTCAAAATGACCAGGAAATGCGTGTCTTGAATTGATTCAGGACATGAAGGCAGCCATTAGAGTGCAACTGAAGACACTCAGGAAAGACTTCCGGAACTGCTTCAGAAAGTGGGAGGAATGACAGGATAAGTGTGTTCAAAGAAAGGTCGAGTACTTTGAGGGGGGTTACTGGCAGTGTGTCATTTACTACAATAATCTAAGCATTCACTGTAATTTTTAGTACTATGCTCCTTGATTTGTATTACTCTAGAGAGACAAAGGAGTCAGTTCATGTCAGTCTGTGATTCATTCCCAAAGTGTGGATCCTGGACCCAGCAGTGTGAGTGTGCATCCTCATTAGAAAGGCAAGTCCTCAGGCCACCCCAGACAGACTCTGCCCCTTTGGTGTGTGTTCTAACAGTCCCCCTATAATATGGTTCCATGCATGCTAGGAGATATCTGCCTGACACCATTTCGCATGGTGTATTATTCAGAAAGACATTCTGTGGCTATTAACAAGTGTTATCCAAGGAAGAATTTCCATCTTTGAGTAAATATGGAGAGTTCTGGGCTAGGAAAAGCTACACAGAGCCCATCGACCGTGCCTCAGTACAGAATTGCCGTACAGAGCACTTCTCCTGACCTGGCACCATGTATAGTCACCTGCCTGATGCTCTGCAGGCAGCATACCTCGTGCTCTTTCTCTCAAGAGCCTAGCTTTCTACACCCCTCAGCCATTCTCAAAGAGAAATGGTTCTCCTCAGGGTCCAAGTCCATCTTTCTTCACTCTACCCCAGTATGACTGTTGCAGGTGTAGGGGCAGGAAGGCCTGCAATTTGATGCCCCATCCCCTTGATGGCTAGGCAGTTGCAGTAATTAATAGACAACATGTTAACCAGAGTCTAAGTTATTGGATAATTACCCCATAAGTACCCTTTGGGAACAGCATCCAAGGACAGTTTTCTTTAAGGACACACTTTCTAAGGGCATACCCAGTTCATATTACTAAACTGAATGAACACATCTCAGGCAGGAGCATCTGTATTTGTATATTTCAGTTGTTCAGGGCTTTTCCCAAATTAATGTGGAATTATTTGCTCTATATCTGTCTGCAAAGCAAAACCTGCTAAGGACTTGCCCATGGAATATATTTTGATTTCATTTTCCACTATAGCATGCAGCAATTGGTTATGGACCCCTGGGTGGCAGGTTTTCAGTTTTGGTCACTTAAATTTCGGACTCTACCTCAGCAACAGAGAAAAACAGCGGGCAGTTTGAATATACTAGTTTGCCACTATATAGATGGTCCTCTGTACAACTTGAATGAGAGTCCAAGTTCATTTTTTGTGTATAAGAAAAAAATTAGACCTACAGAGAATTAAGATGTGTTATATACATGTACCAACTCCCCAGGATGAATGTAATCATTATGTACTACAAACACATACTAATGAAAAGAATTTGTTAAAAACTTAATAGACTTCAGTGCTGTACAATTTAAATTTCATTGTTAGTTCAGTGACAGATTGTCCAAGAGCAGGAGGATGACCATGCAGAAAAGAGGATTATTTCAGCCTCTGCAGAAACAGCTCTGCATTTCCCATTTGCCTTTGCTTGGGTCAAGGTATTCCTACCATACGATGACCGACAGGCCTCTAATGGCCGTGAAGGGAAGCGGCTTTCCAAAGCCCAGATTGTAACGAATGCTGATAAAATCTGGGTGAGATCAAATTTGGAGAGTCACTCGAGCACGACTTCAGATCTGAAACCTCTCAAGGAAACAAGCCAAATTATGCCAAGTGGCTTGTGCCCTGTTATCATGAAAATACTTCAGTTCTCAAGGACAGAGAGAGAAAGCATTAATTTAAGAGTTGCTGGCGTAACAAACAATAGATGACGCCTTATCCCGTTATACCCTATAATAAGTGCGTGTCAGCCCAGCCTTTCCTCTCATTTTTCTCTGACTCAAATTCGTACATTGTTAAAAACTTATTAAAATGCATTGAATTGGGGCACTTCAGAAAACAAAAATAGAGACAGTTTTTGATGGCAAGCCATCAAAAATAATTTTGGCTTTGTTCCCCAGAGCACATGTAAACAAACTGTTAGACCCCCCTATACACGAACGGAAAATTATTCATGAAGGGGGTGGTGACTGATGTTCTGAGAACAGTCACCACCACAGGGAGTTAATTCACTGCCCCATGCTGACTAAGGAAGGCTGTTCCTTCCCTGAGTGTCACTGTCACATTATCAAACATTTCATTTCATGTTGCCCATCACCAAACACACAGCTCCTATGTGAATTGCAGTCATTAAAACCTAGGCCTTTCAGAAAGCAAATATTAAGCCTTTCCCATGTTCTGCTGCTTCTTTCTGCACGAAGGAGGGGGAGATATGTAAGATAATTGTCCTAGAAGTCTGGAGATTAGATCTTAGGGAATGATCATCAATAAAATAGTCACATCACTTCAATGAAGGCTGTGGAATACTGAAAATGCATATCGAGAGTTAGCTGAAACTGAGGGCCAGGAGATGAGAGCCAGTTACATGTGAATGGATTATAAATGTGCCTGTCACATGCATTCGTCGGCTTTGTGTTACTGCAACGAAACACCTAAGAAAATTGACGGAGAGGTTTGTGCTGGTTCCTTGCTTTAGAAGCTCCAGTCCAAGGTGAGGGAGGCAGGAACGACTCTGGGCCTGATAAGGCCACATGTCACAGCAGGAGCGTGTGATGAAACAACTGCTTAAGCCAGAAGCCAAGAAGCGAAAGAAAGAGGTCAGATCCCACTGTCTCTTTCAAGGGCGCACTAACAAGGACCTCAGTTCCTCCCATCAAGCTCCACCTTTTAAAGAATCCACCACCTCCCTTAACACATGGACCTTTGGAGACACATCCAAACTATAATAATATGCTAACAGTTTTATTTTGATTGGACTTGGGGTTGTAGTTGCTAGTTAATCCTTATGGCAAAGCAGAAAGATTGAAGGGTAGCAGAGAATGGTGGATGCCCCAAACATCTGCTTCCCCATCCTGTGGTCAGAGGATTTGTAGCCGGGCACGTGACCTCCAAGTATGACAGCATATCTCAGGCAAGTGTGTTCTACGACTAGTTTCTGATTGTAGGGATGTGTGCAAAGATGACGCGTGTATCTTCCAGACTGTCCACCGAAAGAAAAAGGGCATGCTGTCCTCTTCCTCCTTTCCACTGGCTGAAATGTAGAGCAAGGTGCAGATACAGGTGAGGGAAAAACCTTAGGGACCAAGACCCATAAGACAGAACCCTGAGTGCCAGGACTCTGATATCACCACGCATTCCCAAGCAATATTGTCTCTACTGTAGAGAGAAAGGAAAAAAAATTGGTTCATCTAGTAAATGTCAGGAAAGAGGGAGAAACAATGGGAAATAATGAAAAATTTAAAATAAAAGATCAAGATTATGACTACATATACAGGTGGTTAAAATAAATGTGAGTGGGTTAAATTCCTCCACTAAATATATTAACTTCTGTCAGGTAAGACAATGAGTCAGGCTTGCAGTTGTTAGGAAATTTAGGGCATTTAGATGAAGAATAACAGAACTTCAGAAGAGCATCAACAGAAGGTATTTGGTGTGGGTAGAATTTTCCCAGGAAATAAAGAACTTTACTTACAAGAAATCCTGTGCACAAAATTTCCAGTAGCTGTTAGCGAGCTAAGAAAATCAGAAGTCTTTTTCAGCCAAAATAGCAAGAGGCTGAGAGAAGGCCAGACTTGCTTCTTGAGTCATCTAGAAAGACCTGGGTGAACCCTTAGGGAAGCAAAGTCACAGTTAATTCTCTCCAAGAACACATGCCAAGTTCAACGGAATGAGGTCAAGCGCTTGGAAATCATCTAATTAGCACCCAGCGTCTGTCACAGCATTCCCATACCTTTAGTGATAGCCCTTCATGCCTAAGTGTCTTTGGGGTTCTTACCACTGTAGAAAAACAAGAAAGGACCATGACTCTGCTAAGGTGAAGGAGACACTGTCATGCTCTGGGGTTACTCAAGAGTAGAGATAGTGAGGAAGCCTCGTTCTGTTTCCCTTGAGTTTAGTCTCTTTGTGTGCTGCTGACAGAGGCCTGCTGTTATTATCACTCATTCCCGTCATGGCTATGACTTTTGTCCCAATATGTTTGGCTAGACTTCCTCCATTTGCCAGCACCTGTTATGGTTTCCCTGTGCCCCGGATTTAACCGCTTTGCCAGGAAATACTACACAAAATTTCCCAACTACCTGAGGAGCCAAATAAGAGGACTTTCCATGTTGCTGCTGGGGCCACCATGGGGAGGCGGACTGAGAGGCAGAGATGGCACCCTGACTTCCTTGTCATAGTCCCCAGAGATTTGGAGCCTCCCTTTTCACCTCCAAAAGTGTAATGGAGTCATAGTCTTTAAATCTAGTGCAAGAGTGAATGTTCCTGGGATGTCACTGCTTGTATTTCAAATAACTGGTATTATTACTAGTTATTCATTGGATAATAACTTCCTAAGAGGTGCTTGTATATAAGGTACTGCCCTAGGTACTGAGGATTCCAAAACAGATAAAGTCTTTTGCTCTTAATAAAGTTACATCTAATGGACAGAAAAAAAATTTCACAGATACACTACCTTTTTCCTTTTACCCTGCAACTCTAATGCACAAATAAAGACAAATATACATGCAATGTGCC